GCGTCTGAGGGTGGTCTTTGTGTCAACAGTAAAATCGAAATGACAAGGTCAATTGAAGCGATGCAATAAAAGAAAGTGACGAAGAAGAAAAAAAAAACAACGAAAAATGTATTGCCCGAACATGACATAAACTTTAAATTTTCAACGATGATGTACAAAATGTCTTTAGCAGTTTCATTTAGAAATTGAATCGATGCCATCTCAGTTAAACATAATTTGTTCCAATTTTGTTGTCTTTTTTTTCCTTGCAATGTAATCAAAGTGAAAGCGGTGACGATGGGGTGGTGATGTTGGTGATAGTGTTCAAGATGAACGTGTCGCGCGCGTGATTACAAGCACCAACAATACAAATCAAACATGAAAAAAAGCGCACAACAGAAAATCGTCGTTGTTTGCTCATATTCACGTTTTTTTCGAAGAAAATCTTCATTTATTCTGAATCCAGGATATCTAAATATAAAACCATTTGCGAACTCTCACTCTCGTTTTCGCCCACTTTTTTCTCATCGATTCACCCTCTTCGTCCTCCATGAGATGGGATTTTGTCTCTCTCTTTCTCTCTCTCTCTCTCTCTCTTCCATTTCTCTTGCTCTCTTTCGGTGCAGAACATTATGCAATTCAAATGAACAAAACAAAACGCGAATAAGCAGAAGAAACCCGTTGTACCAAAAAACAAACCGTGAAAATGAAGTGGTACAAGAGTTGATGTAGTGTGTTGCGCGAAAAAATGGACGGATGGCGTTTATTTAAAAAAAACTACCAACAAATACGGTGCTCTTCATTTTTCAATACACACATACAAAAAAAAAACAAAGACCACAAAAGCGGCTAAAGTGAACTCGAAGATGGCACAAGAAAGAAAATCATTAAATAATAATAAAAGCTGAGTTAAAACAGCGAATAGAAGAAGCAACAAAAACAACAAATTCGAACAACACAACGAAAAAAAAAATGAACTAACAAGCCTAGAATGAGAAGCAGAAATGAGGTAAAGCTAGGAAAAAATGATGTTTTTGTATGGAAAGCAAATAGAAAAAAAAATGAGAAGAATTATATTCGGTTCTATCACTCTGAGATTTACCATATTGGAACGATGAAATGAGAAAATGAACGTACATAAACCGGAAAAATAGTGCACGAAAGCCTGATCATTAAATGTGAAAGTCAGAATGAATGCCATTGTTGTTGTTGCTATTGCTGCTGGTAGCTATCGTATTTTTTTGTCTTCTTCAGTAGATTTCTGCAGAGGCAATGAAACAAAACCAAATAAAACGCGAACGAGAGTGAAAACAGCAATAACAGCGTAATCACTTATGCAATCAGCGCGCCGAATGCATAGAGAGAGAAAAGTATGGTTGACAGAAAATGTGAGCGCAAAAGTTAACTATGGCTATAGCAAAAATGGGAAAGAGAGAGAGAGAGGGGGGTTTAGAAAGAGCGACAGAAACAAAAAAGAGCGACAGAGAAATTCAATAGGCAAATTTAATTGAAATGAGTCGAACAACGCATATCCAACATTATTTGCAAGACAAAACGATTGAATGCTTCTCGTACTTCTTTTTTTGTATTGTATTCAAAATGAGAATCGAGAGACGTACACACAGTAAACTTGTGATTCGGAATACAAACCAAAACGAAAAGAAAAAAAACTAACAACAACGAATACACAAATAATAATAATAAAAAAAATCATCTGCATTGCGATTCAGGGAAACATATGCCAACGACAAAACGCTCTGTTTTCATTTTGCCATCTCATTGTAGTTCATTGTAGTTTCGATTTAGAAGTGTAATGGGAGCATCGTTAAATTGTTGTGCATGACGGTGCACAGGATAGCGAGACACAAACACAGAGCACACACACATACACATAATAAATATAACGGCAAACAGCAACAGTTTTTCTTTCAATATCGGAATAGAAAAAAGAGTTTGGAAGGATGGTGGCGGCAACCAGTGCTGCCAATGTAAAAGCAGGCAAGCTTGAACGAAATGGTTCGCGCGCGGTCTCATGTATCGTCGCACTACATTCGAAATCTTTTACACTGTTTTTGTTGTCATCGTTTCGCTTCCTTGCAAAGCGTTGACAACGGAACGGCTTAAAAGATACAAAACATGCCAATAAGAAAGTGTACAAGCTACCAATTCTAATAATAGCGATCAAAGTTACATATCTGTTGCGAATGCATGGTGGTTTTCCTTTCATCTTCCTTTTTCCGCTTCTTCATTTTCCGTTTTCTTCTCTTTATTCGGACTCTCTGTTTTCATCCATTTTTTTCTCTTCATCTTCGTCTTTTCTCTGTTAGTTAAGTGCCGTCGTCGTTGCCTTTGTGTCGCTTATCTTACGATGGTGTGAGCGTGTTTCTTGCTTTTTCTTTGATCATTTCAGCACATACTTCGTCTACTTAGTGGGTGTGCGTGTGTGTCAAATACTGTATCGTCTGTAATACTGTATAACTTATGGTGGACGGACAAAGTGGCATCCAAAGCTCAAAAATACCACCATATACACCGACACACAATATATTTTAGATGATTTTAACCAAAGCAAATGTAACTACATGTAATTTTGTGGCACTTTGCCACGATCCAACAAAACACGCTCACGCTGATTTTACTCTTTCTCTCACTCACATTTTATTCTCTTTACGCTTTCTCTCTATCGTTCTACTTCGCTTTGTTCCACTCCCACACCATTTATTCTCGTTGGAACATTTCAAATGGCAATTGCATTCGCAATATTTATATTTGCAGTTGCGTTCTCTATTCATTTTTTTCTACCATTTTAACTGGCATGTCTTTGTTATTGTTATTATTCACAACGACATGTTGTCGTATGCACATGCACACACTCACTCTCGTATAAAGTTGTTGTGTCGCGCTTCGTGCGTTGAGTGGCTTTCAGTACAGTTACTTGTCACACGCTCCATTCACAACAACAAACGTTAATGCTTTTTTTTTATCAAACAGCATTTCTACCTGAAATTTCTGAGAATAAAATATAAAAAAAGATTTGTTGATTCCATTCAAATTGAATGCATTTGATCGCGTTCATTTCATGATTGTTGTCTTTTCGTATCAATTTGTTGAAATTTGAATATTTGATTGATTACATTTACAAATTTTAGTGTGGGTTACCAATTCTGTCATGAACGAACTCACGTCCATTGACATGTCTACCGCCGGTATACCGGTAATTGTCGACTTCAAAGAGCACCGAATTAAGAAACGCACAAAATATCATTTCATGTCAACATTTGAAAATCGTTCAGCTGAACGCTCCATTTGTTTATGAACTTCTTCACAAATATTTTTTTTTTCTTTTTTATGACAAAGATGAAAAGAAGAAAATAAAGAAAGTAGCGAGAAATCGTCCCATTTTTTGCAGCCGAAGCGAGTGTTTTTGAACGCTAAAACCACAAAAAATTAACATATTTTTAATTTTAGCTTCTTCTCGTGAAAAATGTGATAAGTCGTGAAAACCAATTTAAAATTCATTTGAAGAAAATCTGGGAAATTTGATCAATCTTTTGCTCTGGGCCTTTTCCATTTTTCGAAAGGCTGCTTTTGCAGGACGCAATTTACAAGAAAACATAGCGCTTTTTTATTGCCATTTTTCTCATACTACGCAATTTAGCAACCATTTGGTTGAGAGAAGAAAAAAAACCGTTGGAAAATGGGGCACATTCGTCATAACGTCATTTGTACATGTAGCATCCGTTATGAGCCATCATCTTGGTTCGCTTTTTTGGTAAATTTCAAATCACCCATTTTTGCGCAATGTTATTCAACCGAAGTTGGGCCTCCATACACGATTGTCAATTTTTTGGCCAAATGCATTGCAAACTAGGGGGTAACCGCGCTTTTGAATATTGCAGATAAAGAAGAGATTTTAACTTTTTTAGCGCATTTGAATAGATATAAGTACAAAATGTCAATTTTTAACAAATATGTGAGATATTGTGAGATATTCTGATCTAATAATTGTTCTGGAAGTGGGCTTTGGTGGATCCTCAGGATCATCAGACCGCTCCCAGTTCTGGAAGTGGGTTTTGTTGGATCCTCAGGATGGACCAGACTATGGTTTGACAATGCCCTGGCCCATCCTGAGGGTCCACTTCCAGAACTGGGAGCGTTTTCATGATCCTGAGGATCCACCAAAGCCAACTTCCAGAAACTAGGATATGATTGAATACTTACAGATATTGTCAGATATGGTCGGATATATTAATTTTTATGAGATTTTAAGAATAAAGTTAAATTTCGATTACCCCCTAGATTGCAAATATTCAAGCATCCATTTTACGTATTATTATTTATTTCGTATCTCGTTAAAATTAGAAAAAGTATGTACTTATCGTGTTTGTGATGCATTTTTCTGTATATATATATTTCTATATGTGATATGATGAATGTTCCAATTTGTACACAAAGAACATGCACATGTGTCTGTGTGGAAGTACGATGGTTCCAAACTTCCTGAACAGAGAAAACACACACTCTCATGTGTTGATATAATGAACAAACGAACGACGATGCTTTGATATCAAATACAGTATAAATCGAATGAAAAGTGTACGATTTCAAATGGATGATTTTTTGTTCGGTCCGGCAGCAAATGCATTTTGATAAATGTTTCATTCAAAAAAGAACACATCGCTGAACCATTTAATTAAAATGAATTTTTCATTAAATAATTGGGTGATAAAGGGAGGAGCAAGGAGAGGGAGTGATGGAAATAGAAAAAAATGAGTTGTTTGAAAGGATGGAGATAGAAGTTAGTGGAAATATATGAAAGAGAGAGAGAGAGAGAAGAGAAACAAAGCTTCTTTGCCAAGGAACATAAGCGAAATGTGGAAGGAGAGAAATAAATTTGTTCAATTTTGATAAAGAAACGATTGAACGCATTGAACGTATTTCGATACTTCACACATTTTTAAGTAAAAAAACACTATATGTACAAAACTAAAATACAATTAAAAATGTGTGTCTTCTTCCAGACTTCGAGTATTGGCGAGCAGAGTTTCGGGATTGAAGTACAAGTGTGCAACATTGAGAATAGAAGGTCCACCACCATTGAATATAGAAGAAAAAAAAGTGTGTTTTAAATTGGTACGGGTTCCTTTACTGTGCTAATAAGGAAAATGAAATAATTTCAGTTGCCATTGATGAATGTGAATGTTGAAAATGGATTGACCTGAAGTGGTTATTATAAAGTGAAATGTATTTGAGATGTGCAGAACGATGGGATAGCGCAAAGTTTAGATTCAGAATAGATGAAGTCACTGTGTAAAATAAATTAAAAAACAAACAACCGTAAATAAATCGTTCCAAATTTAAAATAAAAAAGAGAGAAAAATTTAACAAATTAACCCAATTTAAATAATAAAAAAAAAATTGTTGATACGATTGCGATTACTGTTGAATAATATAAAGCAAAAAAAATATATTCATAGTGTTAATGTTTGTATTATATTTTGTGTTTCGTGCGTCGAAAGCTAGTTTGTGATTGTGTGATTAAGTTCATTTTGATTTAGTTCAAACAAAATACAAAAAAAGAAATTGGTTGAATGAATACACTTGATATCAAATCGAATTGCGAATGCGATGCATTTGATTTGTTTAATTGGCAATCGTGTATCAAGTCGTGCTAACGGTAACAGTTCATTGGAGGTCGTAACGTAGGTGCGTACTATTTCTCTATCCGTGATATTTTTTTTGGCAAAACTTTTTTTTCGTTTTTTATTTTGTTCGACACAAAAATATCACCCACACCCATATAAAACTGAAAGATGATATATATTTTTTTTTCTTGTCTCTCTGTTTGGATTTTCAGAATGTCTTGCAGCGTAGCGGGAGTGATTCGATCAAGTGTTCGATTGCGTGGTTCATCACAAGGTACTAGTGGAGGTTCTATTAGTGGATCGTCCACTGCAATTCACGGTACCCAAAATATGGGAGGCCCACCACAACCCGAATCAAATGAAAGGTGCTGTATATGCTGGTGCTGTTGCTGGCGCTGCTCATGGTAAATACATCACACGCATAACCAATTTTATTTTATCTCGTCTTATTTTCTTTTAATATATAAAACGAACATCCCACCACAACGGCAGCTGTGGCATCAATTCTCTTTTGACCACTGTCGATTGCTAACCGAAAATAAATGACATTCAGATCGAATTTTTCGATGGGATTTTAACCCATTTTTCGTCGTATCGCACATTTTTTCCATGCTATATTGCATGTTTATTTGTTAATTTTGGTCTTTTCAAGCACCAACCGTTTGCTTTTTTTTCTCTCTCGTCGTTTGTTTCTCATTTTTATCGATGCACTGCCACATTTATTACTTTTTTTCACCCCCAAAACAATTTCTTTTTTTCATTTTATATGTGTATATGTTTCACGTTGATTACACGTGTTATTGCGTGTGTCGCACCCAATCGGCCCAAACAATTTGTCACTTTTATTTATATTTATTTTATTTTTCGCTCTTTCGTTCGTCATGTTCGTGCCCATTTATTTAAATATGATATTTAAAAATTGGCGCTTTTCACATATCTTTTTTTTGTTCGCGCCGGTTCAGATTGTTTCTTGTCCATTATTGTTGTTGTTTGTTTCTGAAATTATTTTCCAATTTCCTCCACCTCTTTGTATACAACGTACGTGTATTGACATTATTTCAAGTGACATTTTCCCTATCTCTCTTTTGTCATTGTTCGATTGGCGTCTGCTTACATTTATGCATTCTTTATTTCATTTTTTCATAATTTTTTCTTCCTTTTTCCGTTCGTTCGATGTGGCCGTGTATTTAAACAATGAATTATGAATTTTACATATTTGTAGAATGCACGGAGAATATGTCAAATACCATCATTTTTTTGTGTTCAATAAATAATTATTTGTGTGTGTATGTGTGTATGTGTTGATTGATTTACAACATTTTCGCCAAATATTCGAACATACATTTAATGAGCTGTTGCTCCTTTTTTCTGTTCAATATTCAATAAATGTCAGTAGCATCAACTCTTTATTTAATATTAAAAAAATATTAATATAAAAGAGATTTATAAAATAAAAATGTCTTCTTTCTACCAACATGCTTTCAAATTTACTAAACTTTTGCCGTAACGTGCTAACACGCAAAAAACCGAATACGAACAGGATTCAAAGATGGTGAGTTTTTTTCATTACGTTCATTTCCCCTTTAAAAAACAAACAAAAACATTTGTTGTGATTTTTTAATGCGTTTTGTAAATGCTTGAGATAGTATGGGCTTGCAAACCGAATGAATTGAATACTATTTCGAATGAGTGGAATATTTATCGTTTTTTTTTTTTGATTGAGTAATTGTGCTAAATAGTCCATGTTAATTTAAATAACGTAAGTTCAACAAATGATTGAAGACTTTCAACAGATTTTGGTGGATTTAACCGCTAGAAGTGGGATATTTATGGATATATAAAGTGAAAGAGAGCTTTAAACGATTTCAAATAAAATTCAATAAAATGAATTTCGGTTGATATGATGCATTTCTATTAATCGGATTGCAGTTGGCATAAGTGTGATTGAATGATGCAAAGATTATTTCATTTTAAATACGACAACTTAAAAGCCAAATTCGGCACACTCATGGGAGATTCCAAAATAAATCAAATTAAATCGCAAATAATATCGAAAAGTCTTTATTCATCCATATTTTTGTGATGCTTCAAACACTCATTTGAACTATCGACTTTTTGACTGAACAATTCAACGATATCCAAGTGCATTGAAATTCAATTTGTCGTTTCCCATGTTCTATGCGTTCACCTGCCGAACGAAAATTGATATATCCATTTGGCTGTTTGTTTTGATATGACAAATAATTGAATATCGTCTGAAATAAATGCAGAACTTTATATGATTTATCAAGCACCAAGTGTCTCTTACATTGTGCGGCAACGTCTTGGCTTCTGCGATAAAATTTCATTGAGACTTTTCATATTTTGCATTTTCCCAAATTAAAGCTGATATTTGCACCGACACAATTGTGTACGCTCGACAAACTATATGGGTGCTGAATGTAGCAAACTGATGATATCAAACACTTGAATTACACGCTACCTATGTAATGCGTAAACATTTGCGTAAAATGAATGTGTGCCGAACGAGAGAAAACCTCCGGGTTTTTTTTTGGTCCATTTTCTGCACTTTTATGCAAATAATGCTCTTGATTATATTTATTTGTGCGAAATTCGTATTAGTTTGCAACAATCTCATGCAACAAACAAACAGAAATTAAATCGGAAATGTAAACATTTGCATGTACAAATTGTTGATAGTAATGAATACAATGTGTGCAAACAACTCTCGAAACTCGAACGAATGAGCAAAAAGTTGATCACAACAGGAAGAAGCAAAAAAAAAAGAGATGGGTCACAACTACCCCGGAAGGGCTTCAAGTTATGCCTTTTTTAAAGATCGAAGAAGATACGTGATGTGCACGTAAAAAGTTGCTATTGCGGTCATTTTGCTGATGATGGTGGCATTGTTGTGATTATTTTGTGCTACTTTGCGAGAACGATTACATTTTTTTTAGTAATAATAAAGGGAAGTAATCGCTCGTAATAGTGCAATAGTGTCCGAATTTTATGGCTCAATCGTTATTTGGAAGAATATATTGTGATTGTGAGAATTAATGAGCAGCGTAAATTATTCGATATCCGCTTATACTATATAAATTTAGTCCATCAATTTCACATTAAAGTGTTCGGTGTTTGTTTGCTTCGGAAAATTCAAATTGAGTCGCATGAAATCACTCAACTTTGAAAATTTGAAGATGCGCTGGAACGCATCAGGCATCGAACAAAATTGAGTTGTAAAGTATGCAATTGACAATTCCGGGTATGCACAGCATTTATACGTATTGGCCGGAATAAATTTATTTGAAATCGAGAACAATCATGCACACATGCAAGCGCGCGCACATACACACTAAAGAGCAAACAATTCGACTGTATAAATTGAATGAAATCTGAAGTGAGTCGTAATCATAATTTTATTCGTTGCATTCGACAATTGAACAAACATTCAATTGGACATTTCCGCAATGCGCACAAGAAGGAAAAACATATTTGAAAAATGATCATTTCGAAAAATCAAGTTTCCTTTTTTCTCTACATCTGAAGAATACGAAGAATGGCCTTTTTTTTTTTTAATTTATTGAATCGAAATGATTTTCGTTCAATGTGAAAATTGTTGCAAAATCGTCAAAAATTGGATACGTCACTCGCACATTATACACCCCACTCGCATAAATTAAATGAGTGTTGACAAATTGAGGGCATGAGTACCTTGAAAATATAGTGCTTTAATGTCAGTTATACCTATTCCTCTCTCTCTCTCTCTTTCTCTCTTCGGATTTCCAATTTCAACTGTGTGTTAATTTTTAGGTGGTGTTTTTCCAAACTGTTTAATATTCAATAAGATTTACACACGCACATTGAGTTCGGCGGTGGTTGATTGGTTGGTTGAAAAGCAACTGCGGCAGTGGCGGCGACGGCGACGTCGATGGCATTATATCAAAAAACACATAGTGAACACAGTACCTTTATTTCATCACACTCATCGAAATCGAGTCGAATTGTGAATAAAACCATGTCTGACATCAATTATTATCTATGGAATTAAAATGGTATCAAAATATACGAAATAAAAATAGATTTGTGTGTATACTTTTTAAAGAAACAAATAACCAAATGTGACACACTACAAAATTCAAAGCAAATTGGGAAAAATTGAGGGTAAAAAGTAGTGTGTGTGTATATGTGTGTGTGTGGCATATATGACTTGTACGATAATATTAATAATTGGATGACGTCAATTTTATTTTTATTATTTCTTTTTTGGTTTTTTGGATGTGAACAAGTAATGACACATATATGACTCCATACACACATACACATGTCTTTAAAGTCTATTAAACTAACGAGAAATTGGTACCCATTTGGTTAAAAATAGTTAAATCGCGTGGTAAAAGTTGTTGTGTTTATTTCATTCTCTGTCGTTCATGCCGTTTGTTCGATCGCTCTTTTCGTCCTCTCACACAATTCAAATGTAAGCGCGACTTTTAGATTACTGTTACCGTACACAATTGTAAATGTAATGTGTGTATGTTGCGCGGTGTGCGCTTAACATTTTACATTTGATGTGGATAACATGTGAAATAATCAAAAGCATTTTGCCGTTTTCCAATGAATGTGAAAACGAGAGCGGGCTCGCACTCAATACGAAAAATGTATGTGCGCGACAGAGTGAATGCATGTGTGTGTGTGTGTGTGTGTGTGTGTTTGTGTGCGCGCTCGTGGAAAACGAAGAGAAGGAAAATTACAAATGAAAACTATCAACCGTCGAAATCGCATTTATGCACGCACAAGCTTAGCACTGGAATTAAATTATGATGATTTGTTTTGTTTAATGGATCTAGAGCAACACAGCCAATTCGGTTTGAATACATTTTTGATGTTGAATAAAATGAACGACGAAAAATATAATACACACACACAACAACCACACACTCTCTCGCGAACACACACACACACTGAAAAATCCTTGAGTTGTGTTCTATACTCAACGTTTGCGAAAATGAAAGCAGATAATTTTCCATTTTATGCCTGCAAATGTTGAATTGAATAATAATCAAAACGAGCCATTTCAGTGGCGAACGAGAGAGAAAGAGTAACATTGGCAACAACGACAACGACGATGGTTTGCGGTGGCGGCAGTGTCGGTGATGATGATGATAATGAGTGAAAAAAGGCAAAAAAACGAGATAAAGGCAGGGAGGAGAGAGAGAGAGAAAGAAGGAAAAATGCCCTCAAATTAAATTGAATTAAAAGCGTTTATGTGGCCGTTGTGAAATTGAATCAATTCAAAACTTATATGCTATACATTGTTACACATATTTAAAATGCGAATTTATCACTGCAATTGCAAACTTTTTCTTTAGTCATTCAAGCCGATCTCGCTTCCTCTCCCCCCGCACCCTTTTCCCTTTGTCTCTTTCGCTCCTCCCGCCGCTCGCCACCTTTATCACCGCTTTGTTTCTCTCGCGTGTTTGCTTCGGTTTTTCATACATTGTAAGCCCGCTTTTGTTCGGACGGTGGCATTCATGTGGGCGATGTGGCAAAACGGAAAACACTAATTGAATCCGGATTATTTGCCAAAAGCATAAAAGAGCATTACAAATAAGTGTATCCCACACTTTCACACACACATACGAACACAGTCGACAGTCGATCTCTTTCTCTCTTCTTTTCAACATTGCACCGGTTCTCTGTTTCTTCATTTTTCATCTTCGTTTCTTCCGATCAAAGAAATTCTCGCACACACACACATACACAACGTGTTGGGAATGTATTGAATGCTTGGCATGTTTGTCATTTTGTGTGTGTGTGTGTGTCTCATTCGCCTAGTTCATTTGCGCCATATTCGATGAAATGAAATTATCTCATTCTTCACGGCAATGCGAATTGGAATGACTAAAAATGAATGTGCAAACAAATAAAAAAACGGCATCACACTGCCGTCGCTTCGGATGTTTGAAAACAACAAAACAATTGTTGCCCGAAAATTGTTTTCTTTTCAAAAGTTCGCATCGGCGTATGAGTTTTCTTTTTCGTTCCAAGAAAGCACTGAAAATCGAATGTGTCGAAAATATGTGCTTAATTGAACGCATGCGTCGCAATCATCATAGTCAGCATCAGCATCAGCATCTCAATGTACACGATTAAATCCAACTATTGCCATTCTTCAGCACTAGCCGCTTCTTAAGCACTCAACACACTCCGTATAAGATTCACGATACTCCGAACGTCGTCGTCTTTGTATTCATTTTGAGACACTCAAGACCACTCTTTGGTACATCTCTCTTTCTATTTGGCACGGTACACCACAATTGTGGTTGAGAGTGGGACCTTTCACAACACTGAAATGTGTGTTAGCGTCTTTTTACGAAGTTCACATCGTGCTTAAATAACAAAACAAACGCATACACACACCACATTGAGTGTAGGAGAGAGCGAACACTTTTTCATATATCTAGAATAAGGGACTTATTTAGTTTCGTGCTCACTCGCGCTTTCTTTCGATATATATATATTTCTGCTGTTTCGATAACAAATCGAACGCCACCATTTTTGTACGCCATATTGGAGTAAATGTGTGTGGGTGTTCGTTCATGTACGTGCGTGTTCTGTATATTCTGATTTATGTTACACACGTTCCCTATTCACTTACACAAGACCTTTATACTTCTCGGTCGATTCCCAAATTCTGATAGCATCGTTTTTGGCGATGCTTTGTCATTGTCAACGATTGCACATAAAAAGAAACGTACTTGGTGACTTTCTATCGAAAGCGCTCAAAATTCAAAGCAGATATGGAGAGAGAGAGGGGGGTGAGGAGGAGTAAGCGAGTAAAAGATAGAGAATGACCCATTTTCCATTGTAACAAGCTTAAAGGTATCATCATGCGTTTTATGCTCAAAAAAAGTAACAAAGAGTTTTTTTTTTTTTTGAAAAAGCCCGAAATATTTTTTCATTGTTGTCTAGCATGGTACAAATAAAACCGATACATTGTCACTTGTCTGTTTATTTTTTGTTTGTTGCGTGTGTGCCGTCATCCAATTTTCGGTGTTGCATTTCACTTTTTTTCTTGCTAATATTTTGGCGTGTGTCGACCCGATACGCTGTTAATAATGAAAATGAACAACGAATCAACATTGACAATTTGCAATACGATATAGCATAACCGATGCGACGAAAAACAACAACCACAATCACCACCACCGACGACGACATCTCTCAATCAGCACACCATAAGAAAATCCATTGATAATAAATGTTGAGAGCTCGGTGAGTTGTGCTATATAGCACATATGAATCGTTGCGGCGAAAGAGTAGCTCTTATTTTTCTCCAAATAATACTGCAACATAAAGTTTTTTATGAATAGTTTATTTGTTGTATTACAACAAATAAACCGTGTGAAAAAAACTTCATGTTGCAGTATTATTTGGAGAAAAATAAGAGCTACTGTTTCGCCGCAACGATTCATATGCGACTGATTGCGTTTATGTTTTGTGTGCACAAAAATAGCGACCGTTTCATGAATGAAAATCGGCTCGGAGCGATGTCCAAGTGTGCATAAATGATGTGTATCATTGAGTGAGACGGAATAAAGACAAAGAAAGAACGAAAGAAGAAGAGAGAGAGAGAAAAACCCACGCAAGAGTTTCCGAATAAAATTTGATTTTCTGTTGATTTCATCAAATCGCAAATTGCTGTGGTGTAAAAGTATTGCAAATTCATGGGCTACGGTTGAAATTTCGGTTATTTCTGTTTTTTGTTGCCGATATTTTTGCACGCGTGTATTTAATTGGATTGTGAATGATAAATAATTGAAATTGTATTTGATCTGAATATGTTGATGAATGAAAATGAATTTATAAATAGATTGAGAATGTAAAAGAAAAGCGCCCATTAATTTCATCGATAAATGAATGAAAAAAAAAATGAATGAACGAGACCAGACGTGCCTGTGTTTTTTTTTTGCTTGTTTGTTTGTCAAAATAAACAAAAATGTGACACAATTAGTGGAAAATACATCAAAAGTAACAAAGCGAGTGACTGGCGCAGGGACTGACGCATACCGAATGAGTGGAGTAAGGTAATGGGATGAGTAAAATATGAATAAAACCCGAAAGATCGATGCCAGCGACATTTGAAACCCAAATTAAGTTGGATTTAAAAAAAATACAAAGTCAAACAAAGTCCATGCAGCTCATTCGATTTTCATAACTCAAACAACAATTAAATCAATTTCAACCATTTCCAAAGCTTAAGAACAATTCGAAAACACTCTGACCACCACCCATTGACCGAAAAAAGCTGTCAGTATCGGTCAGTCTCCGAAATAAATCACTCGATCTCGAGCGTGAAAAATTGGTCCATTGAGAGTACTATTCCGGCCTGTTGAGCAGCTGAAAATTTACTTTTACTATTTTACGATGTGATTTTAAATCTTGTAACGTCAACCTTGAGATTGTATCAACGGCCGAATCAAGGCTGATCGAGACTAATCGTCCCTGTACATTCAACCAATAAATAACAACGTTTAGCCACCAGCTCTGGATTCTTTTTTAACAGGTGGCTCTATCCGAAAGTGGTAACTCCATAAAACAATTGGTTGAAATTCTCATCGATGGGATACGAATAGAACACTCTTCTCAGAGACCGAAATGGTCATGTGATTATTCACTTATTTTAGAACTGAATCTATGCGTGTGTATGTATTCTACCGCTTCATGAATGAAATAATCTCAGCATTTTCGAATGCAACTGAAAATGTGACTCTTTCGATATTTTCTGACCAGTCAATTTTTCTTTAGGTTTTGCAAATGCGGTAGAGCCGTGGGTAATGCGGTAGATAATGGTACAGCAAAAAAAGATCCATCCAATGCAGAGCAGCTGCTGTTGGAGCATGAACAGTAAGTAATCAGTATTCAGAATTTATTGCGGAATTAAGCGGAAATGTTTCAATTTAAAAAAAAATGCAATATCTATATTCGATAGGCAACCACCGCCAACACTGGATGAAATTCGTAGCTGGGGTAAAAGCTTTGGGCAATTCACTTAAAAATTACCTTTCTATTATTTAATAATTGTTATTGATTCTTTTTCGATTATTTCGATTATTTGTCGATTATTTTAAATTAATTCTTTTCTTTTGTGATTCTCCCCTTAGGTAAAAGTTTCGATAAGTTAATGCATAGTCCGGCCGGTCGTAAGGTGTTTCGTGATTTTCTTTGTTGCGAATATAGCGAAGAGAATATATTGTTTTGGTTGGCCTGTGAAGAGCTAAAAGTAGAAACAAGTACCGAAAAAATCGAAGAAAAAGCACGACTTATTTATGAAAATTATATATCGATATTGTCCCCAAAAGAAGTAAGTTGTAACTCTTTTGTTTTTCGGTTTTTTGTTTCACTCTTTTCACTTTGAACAAATATTTATGGACACTCTTAAGTCACTCATTTTTTCCAATGAAAAGAGTGTTATTTATTGTTTTTGGTGAGCAATTAAATTGAATGAGACGACATTGTTTGATTTCAGGTATCATTAGATTCTCGAGTTAGAGAAGTAGTTAATAGAAATATGGTAGATCCAACGCCTAACACATTCGATGAGGCTCAAATACAAATTTATACATTAATGCATAGAGATTCGTATCCAAGGTAAGTTTATGTCCACCAAATGTCATCACACATCGACACGGTGCGATTGAATGGCACAAATATCTTTTGGCAAAAGTAATAACCGTGTCTCATTGATTTGTATACTATTTTCTTTATCGTTATAGATTTGTGAACTCAACGATATATAAAGGAATTGCGCAATTCGAAAGCCTCTCGGCGTCCGGTTCGAAGGCATCTGAAAGTCCAACTTAGAAATTCTTTTAATTTAACAAACCAACAAACGGATTATCAAAATATATTACATTTAAATTTATAAACAAAGAAAAAAAACACTTCACAAGAGCACGATTAGAGTTTAAAAATTAGTCAAAATCACCACAAATCGTACCAAGTTCAAACAAATGAAAATATTAAGTGGGAAAAAAATTTAACGTAAAAAATTATATCTATAAAATTTCACATCCTCGCCCCCCCAAAATCAAGTAAATTTATTAGATGAGTATTAAAATTAGAGCATAAAAGTATCTGAGAAAAATGAAAACACACAAATTAAATGCACTATGGACGCAATGATGCGATTGCGCGCGCACGCACAACTTAAACGAAAACCAAATTACATGAAATGGAACAAACAGACAAAAATAATATATATATCTACAAAGGAGTAAACAATCACAATATGGAACACGATAGATATGAATCCAATTCCCTTGCACCTCTTCAAGTTCCTTCTATCCGACAAAAATCGAGCAAAAACACAACCTGCAAATTCGATGCGACATTCTTGACATTTTGGCTTGCTGCAATATCACTTCTTTAAAGTCGCGTGTGTCAAGCTCTTCTCTCTTCTTCGTTTTCATTCAATGCAATGGTGACATTGGCACAATTACAAATCGTTCGGTTCATCAAATGAATCATGAATAAAAAACACACACACATGACAGTGTGTGAATGAGTGTATTTCAAGAGTAATACTATGTTTTTGACGGAGAGCGAGAGAGAGAGAGAGAGAGAGAGAGATAGAGTGATTACTTCAATGGAAAAACAATTCGCATAACGTAGCAAATGACAATTTTTGTTGTTGTTGTTGCCGTTGTTAAACAAGTGGACATGTTGAAATACAAAAACAACAAAAAAAACAGTATTACTTCATCAGCACTGTATTTCGGCATTCAATCACCAACATCCGTTTAAAAATTTAAATGCAAAAATATGGAATTCGAACAAACAACATTTCAAATATAAAAAAGCTTGATACAATGATCATTTAAAGTGGTTTACATAAAACTTTTGCTGTTGACCCAAATAAATGTTCAACGAATGCGAACCCTTGTGGAAATATTTCGACTTCATAGTCGACTAAAAATTGACTAAATTGGGACAAAAATGGCTGATATTTCAGCCAGCTAAAGTTAACTATAAGTGACTATATGCGTCTTCGTCTAATTTGAGTTGAGAAATGTGGATTGTGATCATACATTAACTACGGTTAACTAACTATAAGTATATGAAATTGACTTTTGTCAACTATGTTGACTATAATCACTTTTAGTTAACTCTGAAACATAACCGACTATATTCGATTTCAATCATCTATTGGTAATTTTAACCGAATAAAAGTGATTAAAATTGACTTAATTTATAGTCAGTCAGTCATTTTTTTTCCACAAGGGAATAAAAAAAAATAGAGATGATGTTGAAACGAATGTAAAAACGCTACAAACGACAAAAAGCAGCTATTTCTCTTACTTAGAACAACAACAACAACAAAAATAAAACCATCCCTCACTTCTCTCCCCATCCATCCTCAATTAAACGGTGTAGAATGCTACAGAGATTGGATATGAACAAACACCACAGCAAATGCAAATTGAAATTCACATATCTTGTGACGTGTCTCCTCTGAAATAAACTGCAATAAACTTTGCATCAAAATCAAACGCCCACAAACAAACACCAAACGAAATTTGTGAACCGCTATCCCCCGACCTTTTATGGAAAAAACATGAACTAAGCGAACTTATGAATATACCACACGAGAAACCAATTTGGAACAAAGAAAAAAAGAGATGGAAAAAAATCTTAAGCATATTAAAAATAAAACCGCATATAGAAATTCATAAAAGAGATAAACAATTTGGAATCTGAAATCGACAAAAATCGAACATCATTACGAGTATTATTATTAAATTGAACATTAAATCATTGACAAAGACAAACAAATCAACAAATATTCTAGTAACGAAATAATTAGCAAATTGTGTGAGTGTGTGATACGGGCCTAAGATCTATTTCTACGTCGTTTTTTATTTTATTTTTCATCCGAACAGTACAGCCAGTGATGTTTCTTGGAAATTCGTTGTTTATTTTTTGAGATTTTCTTTCTGATTCATTTAAAATGATACGAATGTGAGAGTCGCTCGTTCAAATATCGAAAGTGTGTTAGAAACGGGCACTGCACAAATGGCAATTGATTCAATGTGGTTCCCATTCGATTGAAATCGATTTGTTCTTTATTCAATTTAAACTGTCCGCGTGTGTATAACATTTGAAATGCAGTGCCGGTGCGGATAGGTGGTAAATGATGTCATCAAGACTGGCCACTTTGTCGTTTGGATCGTACATTAAACTTCAATTTATCTGTTCGTGGGTGGCAATGTACAAAATGCTGACAAAAGGATAATACGAAGCGTATCCGTGTGAACCTCTTTTGTGCATTCACTTCTTCGAAAATGTGTGTTCTTTTCGTATCTTTTTTCGTCGCTAATTTCAAAACCGGTACAAAATCGTTTCTTGGATATAAAAAAACAATGTGTGATATCTACCTATCAAAATGTTTACCCAGTTCTTTTCGTCTTGGTCACAACACAAAAGGAAAATATTAGAATAATATAAATATAATATCTAAAAAAGAAAGCAGAAACTAAAAGAGAAAAATAAAATAGCAAAAAGAAAAAAGAAAAAAAAAATGTAATCGGCTGTAAGCAGACCAAATAAGCAACTTAAACAAATTACCAATTTAGAATAAATCGATGTATTTAAAACTACTACTTTTGCATGTTAAAGAAAAATACTTAATTTTCGATGCGATTTTTTAGCCTTCTGAATTGAATTCATCGGTCGTCATTTAGATATCGCAAGATGATGGTTGACATTCATTGCTCTGTCTTTATCTCTTTCTCTCTTCCACACACGCCCAAACATTGAAGTGCATACGAGCTAAATCTCATTTAGAAAATGCTGAACAAATGTTGTTTCAAATTCAGGAAGATATATGACGGCATTAAATGTGAGACACAATTGCAAAGCTCACGTGATCGCATCGAGTTCGCCCGAGCGTATCACATCAATTTCATGTTCTTTGCGCCAACTGAAAATATCACGGTATTTGTCAAGATATTGGAAAATTAAAGAGAACAAAACAAAACAAACAAATTTATATGCCACCATTGTGTTTTTGTATAATTGATATGTTGTATTGTACAGTGCATTTTCTATTAAAAGAATTTAATATTATGTGTAGTAGCATTTAAATTGGCATTCATCGCATGGATAATAGGGTGGAACTATTTTTCAAATTTGATGTCATATCTCGATGGCCACTTGGAAAAACATGTCTTATGGTCTCCAAATTCAAGATATGAAAGAATTTTCAACTTCCTATTTGATATGATACAGCGTCTTGAAAATCCAAGAGAACCATTTTAATGAAAAATCATAATAATTGCGGAAAATCACCGTGAAAACTTGTGAATCTTATTAAATACATAATATCAGCAAGTTTGATGACATTTCAATCGAAATTTCAATTTTTTTCGTATTTGAGCTAGAAAACAAGAATTTTTTATGGTAAATTTCATAGAACTTAGTGATGTTTTCTATTTTGGTGAGAAAATAAAATTCATACGTTTTCACGATGATTAGGCTACCGCATTTTTTTATGATTTTCCAGTAAAACGGTCCTCTTGTATTTTCAAGTCGCTGTCTTATATCAAATAGAAAGTTGAAAATTCTTTCATATCTTGAATCTGAAGACAATAAGACATCGAAGTGGCCGCAATATTATGTCGAAAATGTTCCACCCTAATGGATAAGCGTCACGTGATATTTTGTTATTTGATTTGATTTCGGTTTGAAATCACAAACCATCACTCGAATGATTTGACCTTCAAAAGTTTCAACGGATTGTCAAGTTTGTTGGGGCCTCAAAGAGCGTACCATAGGGAAGTTACTTTGAATTGGATTCCACCCCAATCCCAAGTTTCGGAAAAAGTGAGTGCTTTCAAATTCCTTATGGTCCCGAACTTTTTCTTCCTTGGAATCAAAGAAATCATTTCGGGAAGGCCAGTTTTGGTTGTGAGTTTTCTATATAAACGAACCTAGTTAATACATTAAGCTTCGGTGTTTATGAAAATGGCAAGCATATACAATTCCATTTAGGCAACTCCTGTGAGTTCATCAGTTCAAAAATCAAATTCAATTCGAAAAATGAAACAATTTGCCACAAAGTCTATCTGGTGAATGACAATTTGAATGCTCAAATTATGTCATTGAACTTATAACCCAAAAAATAACAAAAAATTATATATATATATAAATAAATAAAATATATTTAAAAAAAATAAAAGAAAAAATAACATGAACAAATTCTATAGATCTAGACGTTTAAGAAATTTTTCACAAACACACACAAACACACAAAGAATATGTGATTTAAAGCAAAAACAAACCAAAAAAAATTAATAGGAAAATAACATTTAATGATCTAATATGAAATACACAAATGTCACAGCCATTAGCAAAACAAAAAAAAAATATATGAATAAAGTATAAATATAAATATATATGATAATTGAAAGGAAAATTGATCGATCTTCTTTGATTCGATGTTAAACAACGTTTTTTTTTCTCTCTGTTGATACCTTTTTAGATAAACAAAAAAAACTGAACAAAATAAAGGAGAAACGAACAGTTTTTCTGAACAAAAAATTAAATTATAACAATGTTTCACTTGATTTGTACATGAATTTCATTATTTTCTTATACGTATCGTATATTATAATGAGGTTCTCGAGAAAAAAACAATGTTTTTACTTATTATTCTTTCATGTAGAAAAAAAACAACACTTTTGTCCATCGAAATTGAAAAAAATTAAAAGAAAAATGCATCTACAAAAAATTGTGTGTAATCAAATCTACAAAAAATTGTGTGTTGAAACAAACCCCATAAATATAACTAAAATAAAATAATGATGAAGAAACAAATGATACAAAATAATACAGAAATGAAAAAGGTGTTCATCGGCCAAGTGATTGTATGGGGCATCGAACACAAACACACACACTTGCATCTCAAGTATTTTTGACACCCTCAATCCATTATTATCAAAAATAAATGAAAATCTTAAGTTTAGAGATGCTAAGTGAACAAAATGAATGAACAAAACAAATAAGTACAATCGAGTTTCGTATTCGCTTAAATTAAATACACAAACACACACACACACACACAAACATTCACTTGATTGAGATGCCATTTCACCGCAATAAAATTTACTGTAGTCAATAAGTAAGTTAATAACAACTAAATTAAGTTATATTAATATTATGAATAATGAACAATCCAAAATGGAATGAAAGACACAGCACACATACACAAAACACACACACACACAAACAGAAAATCAACACCGACTATTTATATATATATATTTGATGATGGTACAACGGACGAAGAACAAACACAATGTGTTTTAGTACTACAATACATTTTAGTATGGAACACACAAAGTGCATCCAACACAAACAAATCAATGAAAAAAAGAAACAGACAGATTTATTGTAACCGAGAGAACCGGAAAATGTAAAATGTTGATGCAAAGGAAATCAGATGGTATATTTAATATGATGGTGGTATACCACGAAAATGCACGATGGGATCCATGACAAATTCAACGTAAATATTCAATTTGATGTTCAGCGAGAATTCAATTGTTTTTTTCATCGATTCGATAATTTCACAATAATTTAGGTATTTACACCTTGCGACTTCAATTCGGGGCTTCGATCTGAAATTCAGATTGTCCAAAATTCAGTCCGTACATTTTCAAATCGATTCAGCTCACAATTTTATGTGCTTGAATAAAAAATTATTTGTAAACTGTAAACGAGTATTTTTCAATCTTGTGATCATTATTATTTTGCATTCCATAGATGATGAAACCAGCAATCTTTCACACTATCAGACTATCTTCCACACTTTCTCGTTTAAACTCGATTCGAGTATGTTTAAGTTCGGAAAAAAATCTCAAAACTAAATCTGTCTGAAGCAAAAATTAATTAATTATATTATATACAGGGTGTTTCATATAAGTGGGCCACTCTTAGGGGCTGGGAATTTTGAAAAACCCTTTGGGGAGTATGTTAGGGGTAAAAAATAAAAAATTTCTATCTGAGCAGAATTTTGAATTTTTCCCCAGGGGGTGGGGGTGCCCCAAATTTTTCAAAAGTTCATCGGATCAAAAAATAATGTAATACAAAGTTGTCCAGAATGACGAGAGAAATTTTTAAGGACCCCTGCCCTCCAAGTCCTCGAACCCCTTAAGGGACGTGAAAGGGTATCACAAAATAACAGCTTACAATTTTGTCGTCGAATTTATGATGGCACAAATGCAATCCGTGTGTGCACACTCAATAATATTGAATGTATCTTTTGCTTAATAACAAATCTCGTCGCGATTTGACGTGTCGTCGATTGTTTCAACACGCAAACACAAAATCTGGCATTCAATGGATTCACATTCTTTCTCTCTTTCCCTTGCACTCTTTCGCTTTCGTTCGAATCTGTCACAATACACACTGACAGCAGACCAACCGACGAATACGTTTGACCCCTCAAATCTAACAAAGTCGATTTTACACTTTTTTGGTCCAAAATTTGTGAAAAAACGCGGATGAGAAAAATGTCGATTCTAAGGTAATTTTTCATGCTGATTCCGAATTTCTGGGTTTCAGGTCAAAAAAATCATATTTTGGGGGTTGGAGGACTTGGAGGGCAGGGGTCCTTAAAAATTTCTCTCGTCATTCTGGACAACTTTATATGACATTATTTTTTGATCCGATGAACTTTTGAAAAATTTGGGGAACGACCCCCCCCCCCTGGGGAAACATTCAAAATTCTGCTCAGATAGATATTTTTTATTTTTTACCCCTAACATACCCCCCAAAGGGGTTTTCAAAATTCCCAGCCCCTAAGAGTGGCCCACCCGTGTACAAAGTGACTGACTATTTTGGGACAAACTGACTGACTTTTGACTGTAAAAACAAGCAACCTTAGTTAAATTTAGTTAACTTCAATCAATTAAAGTAAACTATGGTTAACTGCAACAGCTAACTATAGTTGACAATGATCATAGTCACCCGGTAGTCAAAACGTCCCAAAATAATCGCCTGACTGACTGAGTAACTATAGTCGATTGTTTTCCATACAAAATTTTAAAATTCATGAATATAGCTAACTATAGTCACTTACAGTCAATACTGTATGTCACTTTTTTTCCACTCGGGCACTTATATGAAACACCCTGTATATAAATATTTTTCGTTCCACTAACGCTTTTTCCATGAAAGCGAAAAAGGTACACATTATGCATGAATAAATTATGATTATGTGCAACTGATTTAGTTTCCGTAAATATCTCTATTTTCACGTGGACAATTTCATGCACGACGAAAACAAAACAGTGATGCAAATCTACCGTTTATTGAAAAAACCTCCTTATCCCAATGAAAAATCTCGTATTTTTCCGCTTGATTGAACGTTGGAACACCAAATGCCTACAAAAACATTTATTATAAAATCTCTTTAATTGCAACGAAATACAAAAAAAGCATGGATTTTAGTTTGAATTATTCTGTGGGTGGACTAGATATCAATCATATTTTTTTCTCCAGCGAATCGCAATAATAAAAATCGTGCTGAAAAATTGATTGAATTGAAAATGGAACAAAAGAAAGATAGACCGCATTCCTGGTGTCTCCGTTGGTCCAAACAAAAAAAATCACTTTCAATTAGTTTGCCATCAATCACTCACTCGGAAACAAAACCACATTTCATTTATTGGAATGTCATTTCGTGATTCCATTCGTCTCTCATCTCGTGCGAATTATATGTAATTTAACAAAAAAAGATATGAATTTCAGCGAATTTAATCGAATTCATTTTTTCACACATCATATTCGCTTTGTAATAAATATAATTCCAAAATAAGAAGAAAAAAATGAATAGAATAGCCAGCATAATCTAATTGCGAAGATAAAGAAGAAGAAGAAGAAACAATACACAGAGACACATCATTTCAATGAGCTTCCGTTAAAATCCATTTGGTTCTTGGTTTTCTATTAATTTCAATCAACAAAACACTCCCTTGACGCTCAACCACACATGCGAACACATACACACACATTTTCAAAATGTATGTGGATGGTTCGCATAGAAAATAACACACAAAACGAAATAAAATAAATAAATAATTACATCTACAATTACAATATAAGATGAACAAAATAATAAAAGTTGAGCAAAACAATGAGAATACCATAGCTGAAAAAAAGCGACGACAAAACATACAATTTTTATATATATATATATGTATATGTAATTTATAAAGCAAATAAGGTTTACCAAAATCTCATAGAAAACACACAGGCATACATACCATATATACAGAGCGAAATAAATGAAAAATTAAACCTCGTTGAATACCGAACAAAGAACAAAGATTTCAAGCGATTTGAAGCAGAACCCTTTCGACAGAGCCAGCGATTGATGATTAAGTCGAGCGTTTCTGCAGCGTGCACGCATACAAATATCATTTTGTTCTAGGCACACTACAAATTATTCATCGATCACCATTTTCACCTAAATAAAAAATGAAAATCGAAAAAAATCACACTGTTTTTGTGTTTCGTATTTTATTTCCCATCCGCCAAATTGGCGTTTTCTTCAATTTTTATTTAATGACATTACTTTTTTGCCAAAAATAAGTTGCCCTACATTCTGTACAATCAAATATTTTCAAAAAAGGAACTGTGGTTTAAACAACCTTGGCAATCTACATAGCTTCTGAGCAGGGGTCCGAGGGGCATGGATTACCCCCCCTGGAGAACAGATTTGGGAATTACCCCCTTAGAAATGTCATTTTTTTTGAGAAAAATATTCTTTCGATTTGCTAAGGATTTTCGCGAAAAATGTGAAGACCTTTTTTTTGCTCTTGACTTTCTAAAACTGGAGAAAATATTCAATTTTGCTAGGGTTTTTTGGTGAAGAGAAAAATCTTTCAATTTGCTAGGGTTTTTGAGGCACGTCAGTCGTATGTCTGCAAAAAACTTGAGCTCATAGTTTTACTTAATTTGATATGCGATCCATCATAGCTCCGAATGTTTTTTTTTTTGTTGAAATGGAAGCGAAGAACTATATTTGGCTCATTTTCTCCAATTAACAATTTGAATTGAAAACAATTTTATCTTTCTAAAAAAAATTGAGACCATGGTTGCAACTTGTTTTTTTTTTTAATTTATTTTCCGAGCCTAAAAAGTAAACAATTTTTCCAAGCAATATATTTTTAAATGAAAATCAACGATATTTTCAAAACAGTTTAAAACTTCGTACGCTGGAATTCGAATTGGCTAAATATTTTGCTGGAGAAAAAATTTCATGTATTTGAAGCAATTTTTCGAAAATTCACACACCAAATTCAATGTGATTTTGTTTGTTCATAACAGAATATTAATAAAAAGCAACGACTATTAACAGCTAATATTATTAGTTAACGACTAATATCAGTTCAAATCGAAACAAAAAATCGCTCTCACCCCAAAAAACTGTCTATATAAATCTCAATATGTTTGTTTATAATGAAATTGGTCGTTAAAATAAGACATCGCACGTATCTAATGACATTCATATTATACAATTCAATCGCTGCATACTTTTAATTTGAATGCAATATGTTGAAATCATTTGCAAAACAAATTCATTTTCTATTAGCAAATCTGTCTAACGTTACGATTATTAATTTCAAACAAAACGGACTCAAGCATTGTGTAATTGTTCCATCATCCCTTTCCACTTAGTTAGATTAATCTTCAAATGGATTCCAAATTTAATTCGCAATTTAATTTAATCCGAAAAAAAGTATTCACTGAAACACATACGCAGTGTGCATTGTACACATACACAATATCCTTTAATTCACTTGAAAAGCAGATTTATTGAAATAATGCCAATATTGCTGAACAAAAATCTATACCAAAAATTAACACAGAAAGGGAAAAACACTTATAGCAATTTATTTGACAACAAAGAGAAGAAGAAAAACTAATTTGTTATTGCAGAGAGGGAATGCGAGAAAAATTAAATAATTGAAATGAGAGTTTGGCGCGAACAAAGAACGGTGGAACAATTAAAAATAATAGAGAAAAAGAATGAAATAAAAAATAAATAAAAAGTAAACTACACAAAAAAAATCTTTCTTCGATGTATTAAATTAACGTCAATTTTTACTTTTTAAAAACTTAGTCAAACAAACAACCAAAATGAAAAAGAAATAAAGTTATGAAAACAAATAAAATTCAATTCGGTGTTATTTTATAATTCAATTTTGATTTTTCATTTTTAGTACTGCAGATACCAGGATCAATATGTGCCAGTCGATATACTGACCAAACTAGAGTTGATCGGTGACGGGCCGTCACTGATGGTATAGCCATTTTAGGTTTGTACAACATCGAAATATTACATTAATTTATAGAATTTTGTATCCAAAAAAAAAAAACGATGATTTATGAATAATAAATGCAACGATTTTTTTCTCCTAATTTATTCGGTCTAACATACAGTGAATCTAATATTTTTGGTAGACAAAATTTTGCATGACACACTCCACTCACACGCCATTCGTATATGAATCCTATGTTAGTGGAGAGTTTCTCTGCTTACTTTGCTTGTTATTTTGTCTATCAAAAAAATTAGATTCACTGTATTTGTATACAAATTAAAATTGCAAATTAAGTCCAGCAGATAATTCAATTGTAGTGGCATTAATGTATGGATTAGCGACAATTGTTTGTACTAATTGTGCAAATTCGTCTGGATGACCAAATCGATTTGGTGTTGGAATACATTCTTTTACAATAGCCTCCACCTGCTCGCTTGGAATTTGATCGTTCAGTGGTGTTTCAATAATGCCAGGTGCAATCGCCACCACACGAATGCCAATGTCTTTGAAATCAGCCGCCATCGGTTTTGTTAAACTGTGGATTGCCCCTGATGCTGCTGCAGTAGCAATTTGGCCTTGAACTCCATCAAATGCTTCAATGCCCGCAGTATTTATAATCACACCCCGTAATCCATCATTGTCCGGCGTATTTTTACCAATTAATCCACAGGCCAATCGTGACACATTAAAAGTTCCAACAACATTTGTCTGTGGATTTCAACAATTTTTTTTTCATTTATTAAAAAAAGTCATTTTTCTGACATGAATTCAATACATTCATACATACCTTCAATATTTTTATAAAATCCTCATGATGTCTTGGCTTTTTTGAATGAAAATTGTATGTGATATAGGCATTCATTAGGCCGGCACAATTAACTAGTACATTTAGTTTACCATAATTTTTCGAAATTTCCGATAGCACACGTTGTACGTCTTCTTCTGAAGTTACATCGGCTGGTATGTAATGTGCATTTTCACCCAATTCTTTCGCTACGTTCGCACCATTTGATGTTGGTAAATCACAAAACACCACTTTTGAGCCTTTGTTAACGAATCGGGTGACCGTTGCTTTGCCAAGACCTGATGCTCCACCAGTCACAAGTGTTACTAAATTCTAAACACAAATTTATAGAAACAAAATTCAATTTTAATTCAGTTTTTATGAATAAAATGGATTTTAAGCAAAGAATCTCCTCTTCTTACAGAAAATCACATTTTTTTTACCTTAAACATTTTAAATTTGTCAATTGTGTGAAATAATCAAAAAACCCGTGTTGATCAATGACTTCGGCATAACTTTGTTGGTTATGATCAACATTTGACAACAGCAGGTTTATACAACAAATGTCAAATTCATTCCTTAAACCAAATAAATGTCTAAAGAAGTCGAGTGCGTGCGAATATTCAAATATTTATCTGATGAAATCAAATGTAATGTTATGAAACTTTGTTCAACCGTTTTTTTTATTGTTAATTCTAAAACTTTCTTTTTAGTTTTTATTTTTTCTTCAAAAGACATACATATTTGACTAAATACTCCATAAGTTCTTCGATTATATTTTCCAGTTATAAATATACTTGTAGTCCTGCCGATAATTCAACGGTGGTGCCATTAATATATGGATTTGATACAATTGTCTGTACAAGATGGGCAAATTCGTCTGCATCACCAAATCGGTTTGGGGCGGAAATACTGTCACTACAAATTGTATGTTGCAATGCTTCTGAAAAATGTTCGTTCATTGGAGTTTTGATGAAAGACGGTGCGATTGTGACAACACGAATCCCTTCGCCACCTAGATCGCTTGCTAATGGTTTCGTCATACTGTGAATGGCTCCACATGCGGCTGAATTTGTCGTTTGGCCAAGTGTTCCTTTGAATGCATTCATACCTGAAGTATTGACGATGACACCGCGAAGACCATCACCATCGGGCTCATTTTTTGAAAGTAATCCGGCAGTTAATCGAATCACATTGAATGTCCCCACCACATTTGTCTACCGAAAAAAAACGATCCGAATAAAATATGAACGGCAGGGAACTGAATTTTATTGAACATACCATTAAGACATCTTTGAAGTCATTTAAGGGTGTCGTCCGTGCCGAACTGGAATTGTATAAAATATTTGTTTTGTAAATTCCAGCACAATTCACCACTAGATTAAGTTTTCCATATTTTTTTGTTATTTCATCCACGAGATTTTGAATATCTTTCTCCGATGTCACATCAGCCGGAATGAACTGTACATTTTCTCCAATTTCTTTAGTTACCTCTTCACCTTTTGATGTGGGCAAATCACAAATTATCACTTGTCCACCTTTCTTTGCAAATCGATTCACTGTGCCGCGGCCCAGACCGGATGCTCCACCAGTTACCAACGTTACAAGAGTCTAGAAGAAAAGAAACGAGCTTTTGTTAAATAATTTTTTGTCATAGTTTGATTGAGGTCCGAACACACCTTTAACATTTTTATATTGAATTTATTCAAACTTTTGCCAAATAAATCCTGATTGGATTTTGAAATTATAATATTAAGATTCAATTGAAGACTTAAGTCTTTGTGTGAATTGAAAGAAATGAGTTAATTTTAGGTTAGTTTTGACATTTGGCAGCATGTTTACAGTACAAAATTACTCTCAAATCAAGTATATAACATTTTCAATTGTCAAAACAGATGTCTATGGGCAAAGCACGACGATAATGACAGCTCGGCAACGCTCTATTAGAGATTAGTGCCGCTGGCAACCGCAGAACTATATAGGATCATATGGAGTCATTTGGTGGCGCTGGCAAGCAATTTTGCCTTATCGTCATGCTTTGTCTATGGGACATAAATTGTGGAATAATTTCGTTTAAGACAAAAAAGTACATTTTAGTTTGACTTTTCTTCACTGAAAGATTTTCTGCTAATGCCGAAAAAAACTCTATTTTTGTGTTAAATTATTTATGTTTGAATTTTAGTCCAACCGTGCTAAATGGTTCATTAGCACTAAATGCAACTGTCAAAATGTGTTCTTTAGATTTGATATGTGTTTCGCTGTCAAAATAGTTGTTATTAAAATCAAATGTATTGCAAACAAACGAAATAAGACCCAAGCGGCACGGTAAAACGATAACGAGGGTATTTTGTAATCATGGAAATCGAAGATCGGAATTTGGTTGGTGTAGAATATCCAGGACGCGTTGAAAATGCCGATAATATGGTCAAAACACTGGGTGGTCTAACAAATATCTCAAAAGTTGTAAGTGTATCATTCTACATTCAAAAATCGTACCTAAATCTTTTAGATAAAAATGAATATTTTCGATTAGATATGTAATATGGATAAAAAGCGATTAGACTTGACGTTTCGTCCGGATGATGTGTTTGCCAAACCAATTTATGGTGACTTGAAACCAGCCTCTGGACTCTTACTAAAAGTGGTTTATTGTCGTCGAAGACGTGACGTTCCCGGTCCCAGCACCGAAGAAGAGGAAACCAATGAAGAACCAAAGATCGATGTTATCGGTGTTGTTCGATCGATTTTCAAATTCGAGGGTATGTGTTTCATCCCCCCCAAAAAAAATTATAATGCTAAAATTGTCATCCTTTTCACCGTTTCACATAAGGTTTATGCGATTATCAATATTTACCGATTGGAACGAATCTGGCAACGCACAAGGCTGAATTTATTTATGATGACATTATGCCCAACGGACTTCTATCACCCAATTGGCTAACGTAAATTCAATCAAATAAAAAACCTCTATTAAGGTGAAGACCGAGTGACGAAACCAAAATTTGAAACACAAAATTTCTGATATCAATTTTGTGACGAAACTAGTTGGTAGATATATTTTCTGTGTACTGTGAATATAAACTTAATATACATTTGTA